GGGGAGAATTTAGACTCGCTTTTTCCGGATCCTTCTTTTGCTAGATGAGCCTCAACAGAGGGTCATTTTGATCAGCCGCCTCCAGCCCCTTTTCTTCAGTTGGTTACTCAGGTTTGTGAGGTTTTGAGGGTCTCTCCTATTGCATTTGACTCTACTCCTTCCTTGTTGGCAGAAAGGACTGCATGTGACTACTTGGTTTTTCCTCCTTCTTCTGATATTGCTGTTCATGCTGGGAGATTTGCTGCTCAGTTACGCGACGGAATAGCTATGCCTTGTCCCCCAACGTACTTTGGTTTATCACTGCCAGGAAAAGGTATATTTAGATTCTCAATGGATGGACAACCTTTTGGACCTGTGTGGGTGTAGTTTGGAATCTATAATCACTTTAAACAGATCACAGTTTTCTTGGATTTGGATTTGTCTTATTCTTACAACTGTCCCATCCAAAATTTGTCGGAAGTCTATCAACATTCCCCTCAGCAACTTTAGGACAAGTTGGAGATTTTGCTGATGTCCACTTCAGTCAGATTGTCTTCTTCAGTTCTTTCTCTGGTTTGTTGTTGGGATTTATTGGGTAGAGATGCTTTGTTAGAAAGTGTTTGTTTTCCATCTTCTGCCCTCAGGGAGTTATGGGAAGCTCCTTTTCTCCATCTCATGTTGCTTGCTGGAGTTCCGAGAGGTATGAGAATCACGAATTGATTCAGCTCGTTTACATTCTTTATCATCGTTGGCTTCTCGCCTTTCTAGCACTAAATTGGGAGTGTCGGCTTGTGGTGTTTCCCAACCCCTCCTTTAGTTCCCAGGTCTAATGGTTCCCATAATAGAGTCCGTCCATATTCTCAAGGATCTTCGGCTCGAGCTGATTGTCGACAAAAGAGTTGGTGACTATCCCATGGAGCAGTGGGAGCACGATTACGTCACTTTCTGGAAATCTGGAGTTCTATCACCAGGGATCCATGAGTAAGTCTATGTTCTGGTTTCAGGGTTGGTCATTCAATTTACATCATCTCCACCATTATATGCACAACCTGTTGCCTTTTCACTTCCAACAGATCCACGGATAGCAGAATTTCGTTCCCAGGCCATAAGAGAGTATTTAGTCAAAAGGGCAGCAGAAAGGGTTGATCCTGTTCTTCTGGAATTTTATTCCCGTTTATTCATTCTACCCAAGAAGACAGAAGATTGGCATCCAATCATTAATCTGTCTCGACTCAACCAATTTTTAGATCCTTTTTGCTTTACAGTGGAATCTTATCTCAGATTTGTGCACAAGGGTCAGGTGCTGCACTTCAGGGCTCTACCTTTTGGTTTTGCATCAGCACCTTATGTCTTCCGCAGAGTTGTTCGAGCTTTTTCTCATCATCTGCATTCTTTGGGCCTGCACACATCATTATATGGATGATTGGCTCCTTCTGGCACCACCCTGTCAATTTGCAGAACAACACTCTCAGGTTTTCCTTTCAGAAGCCACAAAAGTAGGCTTTCTTATCAGACTGGAGAAATTTATTCTGTCACTGATGCAATATTTCATCTATCTGGGTGTGTTTTTCAATACTCATATAAGTCATGCTCAACCAACCCCTATTGGGTTTCAAGCTATGAAAAGAGCCATCAGACTTTTACTTATGCCTCCTTATCCTACTGTGTGGATGGTTCTCTCTCTTTTGGTGATGTGAGCATCCCTTGAGCCTCTCATTCTTTTGGGACGAACGAATGTGAGGTCCCTTCAGTGGTCACTACATGACCAATGGATCATGCTTTCTGATCCTTTAGATCATCCTGTCTCATTACTCAAGAGCAGCATTGTCGATTGTGAATAGTGGTTGGATCAGAACAACACTACTATTGGAGTATCCATCCCACCACCTTGTCCCGAGATCCATCTGTTCACAGATGCATCTCTTCAAGGATGGGGAGCTTATCTTCAAGGTCACGAGTTCCAGGGTATTTGGACAGAAGATGAGTCTACCCTCCATATCAACATTCTCAAACTACTTGCAGTACACTGAGCAATGGTTCAAGGTCTGTCTCTTTTGAAGGGAAAAATTGTCAGGATATATTTCGACAATACCATGGTGGTATCTCAGATTTCTCAAGGAGGCACACATTCTCGAGACCTTTGTTTTCGTACCTTGGATCTTTTCTACTGGGCTTATTCCCATTGTATCAGTCTTTTTGCATGTTTTAGGAGTGATGAATTTAATTGCAGATCACTTGTCTTGACCCAACCGGATTTTTCTAATGGAATGGATGCTACATCACAAGGTTTGTCAGTGGATTTGCTCTCAGTTCGGGTCTCCAATGGTTGATGCCTTTGCAACTCCTTGGAATTCTCAACTGCAGTGGTTTTGGTCTCTGATACCTCATCCTCAAGCATTGGCAATAGATGTGTTCAGGACTGGACAGATTTACATCTGTATGCCTTTCCCCGATTCGGCTATTGCCCCGGGTTCTGACTGTGGTTCGTTCCACTCCCTGTCAAGTTCTCTTGGTTGCACCATATTGGCCAGCCCAAATGTAGTTCCCACTTCTTTGGTATCTGCAGGAATGACCATCTCTACCTCTTTCACATTGGCAGCCTCTGTTGAGACAACCTCGATCAGACATTCTTCACCTAGATGATAGGAGACTCGGTCTTCATGCTTGGAAGTTATACAGTCCTTTGCCCGACATAAGGGTTTAACTTCTAAGGTTTCTCTGTATTCAACTAAATCTCTCTGTAGGCCAACCATGGCCATATATCAACAGAAATGGAATACTTATCGTCAGTGGTGTATTAAAAGAAATTTAAATCCTTTTCATCCTAAAATATCTACCATATCCTGTTTTATGACTTGGGTATTTAAGAGGGGTCTTGCTTCATCTGTGTTGGCTTTATATAAGGCATCCTTATCCATTATTTCTTGATATTACAAATATTGGAAGGTTTTTGAATCCTCAGTACTATTGGGTCTACTCAAATCCTTTTGTATTCTTTGACCCAAACAACCTTTTTAATTACCGAATTGGGATTTTACAGTTGTTTTACATGCATTGTCTTATCCTCCCTTTAAGCCCTTAGCTTCGTGTTCTTTGATTCATCCTTCTCTTAAATTGTATTTTTTGTTGTTGTTGACTTGTAGACATTGTAGTTCAGAGTTGTTTGCAATAAATGTGCATCGGACTCTTTATCATTCTACATTTGTCCTGCTTTACCCCGATAGGTATTTTCTTCCCAAGACTGGCAGCCAGGGAAGGGGAAAGATTCTTCTTACCAATCCATTTCTCACCTTTATGACTGCTCTGATCCTGATAGTTTATGTCCTGTTAAGGCCTTAAAGTGTTATGTGGCTCATACTAACTAATTTCGAGGTAGTAGGAATCGATTGTTCATTCATTGGGATCCTTCTATTTCACATGATTTATCTCCCATCACCCTAACAAGGTGGCTTCGTGAATTGATTCTCATGGCCTATAATGGATTATCATTACAGGAGACGAATCTTTTGCATGTCACATCTCACCTGATTCGTCATATCTCCATATCATTAGCCGACCGGTTGAATTGTCCTCTGGAAGACATTGTGAGAGCTGGCATGTGGACTGCTTCTAACACTTTTCTAACTCATTACTTACATGATCTGGCAGTTTTCTTTTCTAAGGGTTTTCAACTACCCCTGTAACTATTTTGACCACATCTGCTAGATTTTAACCAGAGGTGAGTATTTTCCTCAATCATGTACTCTTTTATTTCCAGAGACCCTTTATTTTTCACTGGATCCCACTCTGTAGTGAGTGTTGCCCAGGCAGGTATGCTTTCTCTTTTCAATTCTGCACTAGCAACCACTTTCACTATAAATACCACAGGTTGTAACAGGCTCTGTCAAAATGGGGTGTTCCATAAGACCATGGTATTTCCTTATTATTATTGACTGCTACTCATGGACTATCATGTGTAAAGCTAAATGGGATCCTGTTTCCAGAGCACTGTTCCTCAAGATTCCCCAACATGTGTTACCCCCCCCCCCCCCAGACTTTATTAGTGGAGCTTAGTAGTCCTTACCACCTCCAGTTTCCAGTTGCTGGTGTGGCAGACAGAGGCTTTTCCACCAGAATGTTTAAGTGTGTTTCTTCACTCTTGGAGAAAAGGGCAAAGTTGGGGACCCTCCTACTCGAGTACCAGGTATCAGTAGGAGTGGCACCAACCTCCGCAGGAGCCTACTTGTAATTCCGGTTCAGATTTGACATGAGGTTATCTGGTTGGGGGATATGTGGCCATTCTGTTTGATCAGTGTTGGTTTCGTATATTGTTCTTGGTTGGAGGTTCACTGTCTTCTCATAATTCCAAACACGAAGTGGTCCCATCCTAGGTCCTTGGTTGAGCACAGGTTCCACATCCTCTCCATAATTCTAGGGGCAAGAGGAATACTCCTTGCCGACTTGGTTGGAGAGTGAGGATGAATGTTCGTAATTCCAGACTGAGTGAGTTCTGTTCCTTACGTTGAGCATGACATACACAATTCCATCATTCTGAGCTTGGGGTGTCGCCTTTTGGACTTCTTCAGGTGGAGGAGAAAGTTTGTCCATTTCAGTGTTGTTTACTTTCTTGTCGTGATTCTGGTGGTGTGAAATGCATCACTCTATGGCTAGAAGTTGGGATCCAATCAAAAGTGTGTATATATATATATAATATATATATATATAACATTGCAGTCTAATAGTCCTAGCCACCAACGTGGGATACAGATACCATGACCCCTTAATTCCAACCCTGAGTTGTGAAACCTCGGCTATGTGGTTGGGGCTGACCTATACTAACGATTACTCATATTCTATTCTACCTTTGATATAGGAACTGAGTTCAAGGTGAAGAGCATACCTGTTCTGGACGTAGTGTGGTTCCCCCACTCTTGTACCATCTTTATCTCCTGTTCTATACAGACACTTTCTGTATGGTTCATGCCTGCACCGGCCCCTCCACCTTCTCAATGTGGATTCTAGCCATAGTGTCAGCAGAGGTAAGTATGTTTTGGAAATTAATATTTTCCTAAACTGAAAATGTATTTCCAATAATTCTTATTTCCGCTGACACTCTCCCGCCCTACCTCCCCACTAAAAGCCGGTTTATGTTTTGAAAAAGTGGAGATGAAGAAATAGCTGTAGTGTCAGAGGAGGTAAGTATTATTGGAAATACATTTTCAGTTTAGGAAAATGTTAACTTAAAATAGTTTAATGTGACGTACTTAAGGAATGTTTATATAGACTAATAATATGGTATTAAAATAAAATACATTTTTTTTAAATATAGGACTTGAAGTAATAATACATCTATAAATAACATTCATCATGGCAAGTGAGGAAGGAGAAAGTGGATTTGAACTGATGAATGTACCTGAAAACAGTGAGGAGTCTTCCCAAATCAAAAAAGAAGACAAAGAAGCTGAAGCAGGAACATCGTCATCATCAGCATTAGAATCTGGAGAACCTGTTGGTTTATTCAAAACAGATGATGATGATGTATGATGTCAGAATATAGTATTTATTAAATAAGAATTGGAAATATTAAATTTCTAGTATCAACCATAGTTTCTGAAGTACTAAAGACATAAACTTAAATCAATAATTTTGATCTACTTAATTTTGAATTTTATGATGATGGTGTGTGATGAAGCCGAAAAACATATTTTAATATTTAGTAATTTCTAAAGCTTTGTATGATTACAGTCCCTTCATAGGAATCATAGGAAAAAGTAGTAATACACTTATTAATGGAAAATCAAGTAACTTTTCATTTTTTGTCTAATATATCAATTATTTGCTTTGCTGACTAGTATTTCCAGTTATATGTACCTCACTCCCCAATTTTAAAAAATTGTACTTAAAGGTATCTGCAGAAGTAGGTTTTGCTCATAAGTAGGGATACACCATCTACCAAACTTCACCTTTCAACAAAAGCACAAGTCTCACCTTTCTGCTAACAATAATATTACATAAAAATATAGAAATATTATTGAAAATACTATGTCCTTTACCTATATCACCCTTCATGGTCTGCAACCACAGAATCCAGGATACATCTTATAAATTCATATGCTCTAACTTGTCTTGTGTGGGGTTTAATTTTTTGAATTTGTGAAGTTTGATTTTCCTTGAATCTTCTTACCCCCCATCCCCCTTCCCTTTCATTGTCCATTTGGACTTTTTGTTGTTTTCAATTGTGATTTAACCTTTGGTAGTTATTAACCATATACTGAAATGTCATGAGTTTTGGAATAGCTGTTAATTATGCTTTTGCCTAAACTGGTTTTGGTTCTTTATATATATGTATGTGTATATATACAGACACATACACCCACATGTAATAATACTTAGGTCATGTCTGGACAAAATATAAGAAGACATTATTATATGAATTCAGGCAAACAGAATAAGTTGCTTTTGGATTACTATATTAATTGATTTTTTGTTTTGTTTCGTCAATCATCAGGATTTAGATGAATCATTAGGAGAAAGGCTTTGGGGACTGACTGAAATGTTTCCAGAGTCACTAAGATCTACAGTATGGTCTATGATGGCTGGAACAGTGGGTAGTGTCAAGTGGTTTTATGGCTTTAGCCGGTCAGCCTTTTGGATTTTCTTTTCTTCTTCAGCAATCTTGATAGCTCCTGTCATATTTGAGATTGAAAGAATGCAGATGGAAGAGATGCAGAAACAGCAACAGAGACAGGTTAGTCACCATTTACTTATATTATTATCAAACTATTTAATTTTTTCATTCAGACAACATTACTCATCTCTCCATAAAATAAATAGTTATAAGCTAGCTTCATGCAGCCACCTCAACACAATTTTAGTAACCTTATGTCTTTCCCTTGTTTTTCTCCAGTTCTTATGGACCTCTTCAGGGCCTTTCTAATCAGTTGTCTTACTTATTCAGTTCCTTGTCCAGACTGGAACCTCTGTTTATATCTCGGGTCCCTTACAATTCCTCTGTTTAGAACCTTTGGATGCCTCCTCTCTGTACAATTTTTTTCTTTGGATATGTATTGTTCTTCTCTCTTGCAGGAGATGCTATTCTGATATTTTTGCCATAGATGCCTTCTACACCATTTTCTCACAGAGACCAGTTGGTTTTCTTTCCTGGACTACTCCTTTCTCCTCAAGACTTGGACTGCCCAGAAGGATTTTCATATGATTTTTCCAATCACCCTCCTTTCACTTTATACAGTCATTCAGAACTCAGTCATCTTTTTAGTCCTATGCAAGCAGTACAATGTTACCTTTCTTGCACAGCTCCCTTTATTTGCAATTGATATTGTCTCTTCCTGCCATGGGATCTCTCTACTTCTCATAATTTATCTTCTTCCACTTTCATTAGATAAATTACATAATTCATCCTTGGAAATGGAATGTTTTTTCTTTTTAATGTCATCTCTTAACAAGTTAAATATCTCATGGCTTCTCTGGTCATTATTGTTCCCTGGATGAAATCCTGCAGGTATGAATGTAGATTACTACCGTAGGCTCTGTTATGTCCTACTATGTACATCACACTGCAGTCTTGTCAGATTCTGGGTATCGTCTCCCTCCAGTCACCATTCTCTAATTTTCCCAGAGGCGAGTTGTTTTAGCAGTACCGCCAAAAGAAATAGTAAAAATAGCACTAATAAAGAAATTAAAAAAAGTCACAAATGACCAGTGTTGTGTCACAAGGAATACTTCTCTATCCCAAAACCTGCATTAAGCATGAGATAACAAAGTATTCAGTACACTTGTCTCTGTTCAGTGATTGGATAAAACAAAACAGGGAAAACTCTTGCCTCCACAGTACCAAGCTGATGGGGGGGGGATATGTAATTACCCTTCAGGCAATGCGATCCCACTGGTAAGAGACTGAGTAGATGCACCCTCAATCAGAGGTGGAACATGGGTTTCAACTTGTACAGTACAGTGCCACCCCAAACACTAAGAATTGAGTTCTCTTTGGTAGGCAGGTCTGGGATGAGTCATCCCTGAACTTGCCTATTTTTGTAAGCATTTCTCTCATACTGTATGGCTTGACACATTGCTCTAGCCACACTTCATTTATATGGTCTACCTGGTGAGCAGTCTTCATATTCTTCCCACACTTGTAACACTTTAGTTAAAAAAAAAAGGAAAATTATTTGATGGAACTTTTCTGTACAACCAACTGTAGTTGGAAAAGAATATTTTCCTGTTTGAGATGGATGCAGTCTCTCACCATTTGATGGTCCCACCTCTAGCTGGAAATGCATTTCATGGGTTTCCCTTTTTGTTGCTATATTCTCAGTTTTATAAGTTAGAAAACAAACAAATAAAACATAGATTCAAAGAAATTGCTTTTTAATTCATTAAATTGCACTTTTACTATTTAAAAAGAAATGCTGAAAGACTTGTGTAGAGAAAAAAAAAAGACCATAGAACAATAAACTAAATTTGTAAGCCACTGACCATTGCTTTTTCTATTTTTTTTTGTGTGTGTGGATTCTCTCCTGTTACAAAACACCCATTTTGTTTACCATGGCTGGGGTACAACTTATTGCAGGTCTATTTTTGTGTGGACCGTGTGTCCTTAGTAGATTCAGATTCCTTTTTTTTTTTTTAACAAGCAATTAGGTACAAGGGATATTCCCATCTTGGAAATTCTAAATCTGTGACCTCAGTTCATCTTTATGATGTAAGCATTTAAATATTTTGCATTGGAAAGGTCTGTTACGTACCTTTCCCCAAAGCAATCTGTTTTTAGTGGCATCACACTACCTATGAAATGCCAAACAATGTCAAAATGTAGTTCTCATACATACCATTCCAACAATCATTGGATTGGGATCATTCATACCTGTGAAGAGGACTGCTTAACAAATGTATTTTTAAAACTTCATCAGTTCCAACATGTTAAATTCAACATTCATAATTCATCTCTGGATTATTTTAAACTTTTTTCTTTTTTTTTTTGCTTTTGGAAATGGTATTACCTCTTCTTGTTTATGTGTTGGGGGTTCCAATTATTGAAAATATTCTATACAAATCATTCAAAGCAACTTTTTTTTTTTATTCTTTTATGGCAGTTGTCCATTTTGGAGAAGTCCTTAAAATATCACATTATAAAATGGAGGTTTTCCTGGTTATTTAGAGTTACCATTTACTCATACTATTTCTGATGGTGAGTTTTTATAGAACTTGTAGTGTTTTGTTAGTAAAACAGCTTAGTTTTCTTTATATTCCCTATTGTATGTCAAATTTCACAATCACATCAAAGGCTTATAGCTACCATTTCCCTCATGTTAGGAACATTGTAAAGAAAAATGTTGCTATATGTTTATAGAAAACTTTTTGACTTCATGATGCATTACTTAGTAAAAGATATGTTTTTGTAATCAATAACACTATCTCAAGCAAAATATGTTAGTGGTTGCATCAGGTTTGTATTATCACACCCTGACATCTAGAATTCATGTACAGTCTTATTGTTTCCTTTGGGGTCTCATGAATTGTTTGGCTACTTCACTTTTACTGACTTGTTTGGCCTAATAAATCATTTTGTTTATAAGTGTTGGTGTGAGCTTGTTAACAGTAGTGCCATAACACCAAATAGGCCCACTGGATTTAGGAAAGCTTTGTATACTACTTCCATTTTAACAGGATATTTCAATCGCTTGTATTGAAGCTTTGCAAGTGGTAGTGTTAATGATAATCATCTATCCCACACATGCTGAACTTTAGCACTGACATCTGTGTTGGAAAACATGCTAGCCAGGCTTTTATGGTTGTATGTGTACATCTACTGCCTGTCTTCATGTGGCTATTATACAGTCATGCTCTTAATATGCAGTAACGGAAGTAATTATGGAAACACTTAAGACTACACACAAAGGAGTCACAAACAATGAGCAGTAGCAAGTAGATGATGACTTTATTAAGGGCACAAAATATTATCAGAAAATACAATATACAGTTTTTGCATAAGCCCATACAGCCTCAAGAGCATTCATAAGGGGATGTTATGCGTACCAAGTTTTGGTTGTGTGTGTTCCATTGGCCTTTTACCATCAATAGATTGTTTTTTCTGATTTGATGTATGCTTGGGATAACTGTATTGTGGGAAGATGAATTCCCTCTCAATGAGTCATGATTGATCAGAATTTTCTGTACTTGTCAGCAGTCAGGGTGCCATTAATTTTAAGCAGATAAACAATACCACTGACTGAGATGCAGCCCCAAACTTGTACTGATTTCCCACCATGCTTCACTGAAGATGCCAATTACTATTGTTGATTGTTACCAGACAATTTTAGATTTATCTGTAAAGAGTACATGTCTTCACCTTTGCATATTCCATTGTTTGAAGTTTGATGCCAATTTTAATCTTTTGATTTAATTACCTCTTTTTTTCAGAAACTACATATCTGTTGAGACAACTTCATGCCAATGTATGTCTTACAGTTCTCAAGGTAACATTCACATCTATATTTATGGCAAGGTCATTGGCAAAATCTGTACAGAACATACCTTGAGAAACTTGGCATACGTTTTGGAGTTTCATTTTAGTAATTCAACTACTTATATTACTAGCAGTACAAGTTTCATATACCATCTTCATATTACTAGCAGTACAAGTTTCATATACCATCTTCAAATACCCCGAAATATAAAATATCTTTGACTTCTAAGCACTTGTCATGTAGTTTTTCCAGTCCTTAAGGGCAGTATTTCAGTCCTGAGAGCCATGACTGGATTCACACTACTATTACTGGACATGGTATGACTGCTTACTTTTGTATCTTTTATAGTAGCATGGCTTTCTGATGGAAGTCAAACACAGTGTAAGCTATCAACATTTGACTAGTCTGAGTCATATCATTTTCACACAATAAAGGGGGTGGCATTCCTGTAGTATTTGCCTTTTTTTCCCTCAGTGTTTCCATAATTATTTCCAGTTCTATTTATAAATGTTAATATTTATTCAGTTTTTAATAGTTATTGATCACTGATCTAGTTGTTAAGTCAGTTTGATTATTTTGCAATGATATTTCAAAAGTAATGAGGCACAATGAAACATTTGAAAAGATTTGCGCTGCTTATTCTGTTGAGTTATCATTGCTTCAATATTTGATTCTTTTTTTAAAAAAAGTAATACTTCTAGTTTCTATAAACAATCTAATCATCATATTTTAGCATATATACATTTTTATTATCTCAGTTATTCTTAGAAATTTTTTCCCCTTAGATTCTATTAGGTCCAAGTGCAGCAGTATCTTCAAGCAGTGGAATGGGGATGATGATGCCTGGACCACCACCACCACAGCAACAGCCTAGTCAGCATTAGATAAAGAAATTGTCTTGTTTAAAGAGTTCATGCTTCTTTTATAATAACAAGATTTTAAACATAAGAGATATTGAGCATTCTGAAATACAGAAATAAATTTTGGATTACAAACCAACACCTAGAATATCTCATTTTAACAATACTATTGTAATACAATGATACATAGAAAACAGTAGTGTACATAGGTGTGTTTTTACTCATTAATAAATGCCCTGATTTTCCTTATATATATATATCTATGTTTGCTGTACATACTTTCATTTAAACGTTTTAATAACATCAATGAACCATAAAGGGAATGATTACAGTATTTCATGATTTATTTTTCAAATCATCTGGCATTTCATAATATAATAATACGCTAGTTCCATTTATAATCATCTAATGCAGTAATTAACATTATTTTTCAGCTTATTCCTCTTCATTTGGTGGATCTTTAAGTATAGTTCTCACCTTTTGACACTAGAACAGGAAATTAAATACTTAGTGTTTTGAAAACATAAATTACACCATTAAACAAAGTGACTAAAACAGTGATTATAGAATAAAGTCTTAAGCTTAAATAGATTTACCAGTCTACAAAATTTGGTGTAACCAGTATTGTTGTTGAGACCATACTGTTTCATCAAATAAAGCACTTCAAATGCACCTGCTCACTCCTTTTTCATAATTGAAAAAATATAGAGTTAGTTGATAAAAATATAATTTCTTGTACATTTAATAAAGATGTTTGTGTTTTGGATTGTGGTAGTGTATCAAACAGAGATTAACCAGGAAGGGAAATCACCTTAAGTAATGGGCCTTTTCCATTCAGTTTACACTGCTATATCAAGATTCCAAGGTGAAAGTAGCTAATGATTGTCTGATTCAGCACTGTTGTTCAGGGTATTTCAGTCTACCCTCCTATACCTAATTTCACTATGAGTGATGTACCATAGAAATGGAAGGATAGTGGATTTACTAATTTGAAATATCTGCTTTTTTGCACAAAATTAATTAATCTGAATTTTGAAACGTTTTATAAAATTAAACCACATATTTGTTATTAAATCCATCACCATGGCTGTAATGAATGTTTATAACTGCAGGTAAATTACATCTAATGTGCATAGAAAATTCCATTCTGTTGGACTGTACAGACAGAAGGCACCCCTTGAATGGAAAATGTCTATTATTTTACTTTGAACAACAAAACTTGAGTGACAACCACTAGAATACCAGCTAATGGATGACACATCACAATCTCTTTCAGCCTGATAATGTATCATTTCATACAATACTCTGTGTCCAGCAGTAATTTGAGAAAAATAACATTCAGAATCTGCCTTGACTGGAATTTAGTTGAACTACTGTGGAACATTTTGTAGTGATGCTTAAAGGATAGACTGAAATTGCACTACTATTGAAACTGCTTCACAAGAAAAGTGGCAATCTATTCCACCAGATGCATATCAGTGGTTGGTGGCAAGTATCATATAGGGCTCAGACTGTGATTAAAATGAATTATAGATCCACTTCTTATTAGAATAGGGGACCAATGATGTAACAAGACACTTGTATTTAAGGTAATATAGTGTATACATATAAATATAGAAAAAGTTTGATATTAAAATGGGTTTATGAAAATAGAATTACTACATTCAAGTAAACAGCTCAACAAATATCACTAATTTCCTACACCTACTATTCAGTTTCATTTACAAAAAAAAACGCCTTAATTAACTTTTTTGCTCTAATGGTTTATTAAAATGGATGAATGTCAAAAAGGACACAAGGTGGTCAATGTCAGATTTAGAAAAGAATCTGCCCAAATATAATGAGAGATATGATAGATCCCTAATGACTACTTACTGCATCACAATACCCAAGATGACAGCCACTAATATGTGCAAACCAAAGTGTTAATTGGACTATATTTTCTGTGCCAGTTATGTTTGAAATAGTTACATAAAAAGTTAAGTATATTTATTAACAAAGCAATATATTATGTTGGCCATATGACAGGATGGTAAAGCAAAATATTGGTATGTGTGTTGCCTGTTCATTATGTGATATCCATAAAAAAGGAAGCATAGCTTTGTGTAATCTGACACGCACTCTGTGAGTACCAATTGCATACTGTAGAAAGGATCATTTTAAATTGTTACATTGTTTCCACTATGGTATATGAGTATACCTTGCATTTTCTACCTTCTTATTTTAATGTAGAATTTTTCAGAATGTTTTGTTTATTCTAGGTATGTGCAGTTTTTGCATAACATGATCAAGAAAGTCATTAAGTTGATTTCTTTCTAGCTGCCATTGTTCTTTGTCATTTTTTTTTGAGATAACACCCTGTCTACCTATGAAGTATTCTTTTTTGAATTTCGCGCAAAGTTACACGAGGGCTATCTGCGCTGGTCGTCCCTAATTTAGAAGTGTAAGACTAGAGGGAAAGCAGCTAGTCATCACCACCCACAGCCAACTCTTGG